AGTTTAACTAATATATCGCGTTTTAAACCGTTAAGGTGATTTATTCAAATGTGTACTACTCGCGTAAACTATAGACAGTATCATTATCGTTCTTTTTAGCATCACTTCAGGTAAAAAATAGCGCTATATTTTATTAATGATTCCTAAACACTTTCTCTATAACAAAACACAGTTTCCTTTTAAGTTCCTATCGCGTTAACCCGTAGCGACAACATCGTTTATTTATTTTCGTATTCATACCTTTTGGTGAATTTCATCACAATACCGTGTCAATGGCTTGACGCCTTTCTCTTTTTTATACCTATGCCACTTGGAAATTTCACTCAATTCATTTGAGGAGACAATAATATTTCTGAACATGTCGTTTTAACCCATATATATCACAGAAGAAAAGGTGGGTTTAAGAGCTTAGACATCACATCTTGCTCGTGGGGTTAGCGGTCCTCAAAAATTCTCACCACTAAATTTATAATGATCTCAGGGATCCTCAAATGTGACTGACAACATGTAGAGTAATCATGTACATGTACATGATAGCAAATTCCGAACTAATATTCACAAAAAACTAGAAATTAGTAAGAAGGAACCTAGTGAAAAATTTTTCGACTCGAGCAGCACTTGAACCGGCGTCATCAGCGTTCCGTGCTGTTGCTCTACCAATTGAGCTACCGAGTCCTACACCTCATCGTCGATTTTTTTCAACTTATTGATACATGCACCTCTCGCGCAATGTAATTTCAAATTGTTTTTCAATTTATTTTTGATTTTTAAATTATATAGTGCCTTCGTGTGCAGTAACATGTAAACAATATTAAAGTTTTGAAAGGGACATACTGAACGTAAAAGCAATCAAAGTGCTAAATAACTGACTAATACACTACTAATACTTTCATACATAGCCTAGATAAAAAGAAGACCAAAAACCTGATGAGACTAACGAGAGCGAACATCCGACTCATCGTAGAAATCATAACAGGACATTGCCGTCTAAACAGACATCTTACAATGATAGGAATAGGTAGCGATCCCCTATGCCCGGAGTGCAGAGAAAGTGAGGAAACAAGCATCCATCTACTCACTGAATGCTCTGCGTACTCGAGGCTAAGACAAATGCATATGGGCTCGGACGAAGTTACAGTAGATGACATTAAAGAACTACAGATGGAAAAAATAATAAGATTCTGCAAGCAAACCGGAAGGTTTGAAGGGGACACGGGAAGAGTTGGATGACCCAAATCTCCGCAAGGAGGAAATGGGTGAAATGGTCGGCGGACAACGTGGACTGATCACCCGTCCTGCCAAGGGTGTCCCCGATAGAAAATAATAATAATAATACACTACTGCTATTATACATGTGTATATCAACAAACTTTTCATTTTTAATTAATTTGGTAAAGCTACTCAGTATGATCGTCAGATCTTATATATATATATATATAATGGATTATACAGAGGCTCGTAAAAACTTTAATATAAACCCATTAGATTAGACTAGAAGATCGCGCAGTGCCCGGATTCCGCTTCAAACAAACAGACGCAACATAACGACGAAAATTTACATTAGGCTGGTTTAATGTCGCAAAGCAATCTCATTCTTGGAAACCGGAAAGTCAACCAGTGAGGTTTGACCTTCCGAATAGATGCTCTCCTCTAATTGGGCTCAAGCGAGGCGGGCCACGTGGAAATGGTCGTGTGTGGTATCACAGCGGAGATAAATTTCGTACATTTCTCGTATCTACAACCTTGACATTAGCAATTTCATAAGAAAAGGTGTTGCGTGAATTCTTCTTAAATTCTGAATGCCCAAAGCGAAATAAGTCTACAGTGCATCTTAATGAGAACCCGTGCTTGTCTGTCCGTCTCTACCATTTAAATAAAGAACAAAAAAATTTTAACTTTTAATTACTGAGCTATTAAGCTCAACGAGATATTTCGTTACCTTCAAATTGCCTAACCAGTTATTAAATTTATTGTAAACTAAAATTAAAGCCAACCTGATAACTGTTTCATAATGTACCTGTACATTGCACCTGCATATTGAGACAATGTTTTTGCAACCATAGTACTTTTTTAATGTTAAAAATTAATTAAGCTTGGTTTTTAAAATGCCAAATAAATAAGAAGGTAAGGATCTATATGAATTTAACTACTATATTATTAAATTTGTGTGTTTTATTTAGTTTATGATAGTATATTGAATTATAAATTTTCTGCTTTATTCATAATAAATAGAAATATATTATGTTTTAAGACTTTACAGTAAAGTTACGTCAAATAAATGAGAAAATACACAACTTGAAATGGTTTGTGAAACAAAATTGCTTATGACACTTATGACTATCCTAATATATAAAATAATATCCTTTCCATTTTCAATCCTTTTTTATAGCCAAGATTCAGCACTGTAACATCTTATGTAACTTAATTTCAAGTTTAAATATTGTTTCATTAAATGACGGAAATCCTTTGAAGCTTTATGAGATAAGTTTCACGATTTTGATAAGATAAATAGAAGGGATCTTTTCATAACTCACCAACAAATTTGTCATTATTTAGAAGTAATAGAAAAACGACGTATAATTTGCAATAATAATAAAGAACAGTAGAGTTTCTAAGTAGATGGAAATTAAAATTAAAAATATATATATAATCGATAAAAATTGGCACATAAATATGTGCCAATTTTTACACACAGATTTTATAAGAAAGTAATCAAAATTATTATGTATGTGAATTCAACTAATAACTACGGTTCGATGTTTTGGTTGCTTAACAGCTGTCGTGGTCACGGGGAGATGTCGGTCCGTAGTTAAAATATTTTTCGAATGAGTTTAACCAACATATATCGCGTTTTTAACTCTAAAAAGTTTTATTTAAATGGGTACTACTCGCGTAACCTACAGATAGTATTTTATTATATTATGTGTTTAAAAAGGCTTTGTTGTGTAACGGTATATTTTTCATGTTCTTTCTGGTCACTTGCCTAATTTTAATATATTATATTCAAATTAGGTAAACAGCCTTTTATTAATTACTTCCATGTAGAAAATTGTATTTTTCGTTACTGGAGTAACTCAGCCATTTGTTATGTATTTTATTTCTTGTGCAGTATAATAAATTAAATTTTCACTTTCACGGAAGTCTAAAAAAGGGAAAGTGATATTGGTAGATGTCGTAAATTAGATAACGTTGCTCCATCGCGAAAGCTTTTTAATGAAATTATTGGGAACAGTATCCTCCATTTTTGATGCCGAAATATTTTTAGCACCATCCATCAAATCATTCGTCTTGTGAAATCTACTACTAAGAGGTAGTAGGAGGAGTACTAAGGGAATAAATTATATTTAAAAAATACATGTAAAACTCTTTAGTCTTTTGGTTGAACTCGAAGATCACAAGGTTCGAATTTTAAGGGTAAGGTAACTTGTCTTTCCCGGTGTTCACTGATTAAGTGGTGGTAATTGTCAAAACCCACGAACCTGATCTTGAACACCCCACCTCGCTGTTCTCTTTTAGCTCCTGAAGTCTGTGCCGACCAGTGGGGTATTAAAAAGTTGAAAAGACATGTATAATGGGTTTTATTGATATATTAACGTTTTTCTTATTTTCCTACTATTTTTATAGTAAATCGAGCAACGTAAATATTTAAGCAATATTATAGAACAAAGTTTATTCGTTAATTTATTTACACACGTATGCAAAAAAACTTACTTGTCATTTATATAAGTAAATTATAAAATAATGTACAATTGTTGTATACAATTTGTGAATCGACATCGTATTTTTCGTTGGAATGCAACACGATACAAGGAATTAGAGAAATCGTATGAACCTCACGCTGGGTGTATGACCTTGACATTTCCAAACGGGTATAAAACCTGATGTTTTTAATTGATTGGCCTTTTCACTTTGTTAAATGTTTCCAAGGAATTAATTTGACCCGTGTGTAAAGGTTATGTGTGCCGTTATAAAACAGCTAGTTTTAACTCTTATCGTAAACTTTGTTAAAATAGAAAATTAATAATTTATATTCTGAGACGTTAGAATTTAACGGAGATTATTTATTATTTAAGATACAAGTGACAGTCTTACATAGGTTTCAGTGACGGTGGGTGAAGTATCCTGACCCTAAAACATTAATCTAGATGCGCATACGCGATCAAAGCCGTATTTCGGCCTTTTATCTGTGAATGGTGGTTCGTGGACCCGGTAAAACTGAACATCCCACCCATATCATTTTAAGATTTTTACGACCTTGTATTAATCTAACAACATTAATAATAGTGAGTAATCTACAATCTATAGAAAGAATTACTTCCACAGAGTACACTACAAACTGCGTATGACTTCTGATCTTTGATTATTCATTTGTTGATGATATCATAATACACTTTAATTATATCTGCATACATTACGTGATGAGAACTTTTTGAGTTTTAATTTTACATAACATAGATAGGACTATCACAAATTATCATCTAAAGCTGTTCAAAGTAGAAATGTCTGAACGTCCATGGTAAATAGCAGGTTCTAAATCTAAAGGTCTTTTAAGGAATGTTTCCGCTAAATAAGGCCACTCCGGCGCAGCAGGCCGGGTACCCTTTCACTTCTCATAGAGATCGTTGTAAACATTAGAAATCAGGAACTTGAAATATTTTCTATTCAATCAAGGTGAATTCCATGCGTTTGTTATTTAAACTCTAAAATAATATTATTTTTTGAATAGTAGGTAACGAATAGTAGTAAATTTTTATACAACCAATGTAACAAACCAAGTCTTTATTTAATATCCGTTATAGAAGCTTTATTAAAATGTAAACCAAACTTAGTAGATAGCGATACAATTATATTTTCTAAAAGTCTGATAAAAGTCGAGGATATATATTTTGCGTAAGAGTTTATTAAACTCTCAAAATATAAACGTCGCATAAAAGACAGTAATTTGTATATTATAATTTATGTAAATCTAAATATAGTTATTTCAAGCTCGATATACATACCTTGTAGATGCCATCAACGAGTTTAGTTAATTCTTCCGTCTCCATCTTGAGTTTTTGTGAACTTCGAACAAAAACAGACAAAAGTCACACCTGATACTTCATTTGAAATCTAACATGCACAATTTTCGACCGTAACACAATTAACACAAAATTCACTTTCCATCACACAGTTCACAAGTTTCGACTTTTGGTTATAGTCAAATCACTCGAGCAAACACATTCGCTTTCAAAGACATCTGAAACAAAGAGAAAAGTGTTAATAAACAAGTTCCATTTCTTTCTCAAACACTAGACACAAAAATAAATTGCTTAATTTAAAAAATGTAATTAATAATTATTATTTAAATTGAAAACAATAGGTTCTAAATTTAAATCAATTTAAAAATAAATAACGCGCACACGAAAGAGTATTTATTTTAAACGTTGTTCGAAGTACAGTGTGTGTTCTGTTGACGAAAAAGTTTCCGATACCTTCAAGATAACGTGCCGTGCGCTCAGTCCGCGGTGACTGAATGGAGTCCGATCACTTGCCTCGATCTTGCGTAGCAAGTGTTTGTAACTATGTAGGTATCAACCAGCCAGTGTTAAGTTGACCACTAACCTCGCTTGTACTGTTACCCACTTGTTTTGAAGTATTTGGGATGGCCTATGTCCTGGGGTCAACGGCACACATACCGGACTTTTGTCAATATCACAATCAATTAACATTCTATTGAGGATTAGTGAATGCGGAGAAATCGAAAAATATTTTTTACATTTAGAAAACTAAATATTTAACTATCATGCGTCATCACTATTATTACACATGGACCCAGATAACACTTTAATAGACAACGATAAAACAGAGTATGAAAAAAATAGGGAACCGTTTTTTTTTTTAATTTAGAAAACTATATATTTAACTATTGTGTGATGACGCACTATTGTATTATTATCTATGGATCCAAAGATAAAACTTTTAATAGGCATAGGTAAAACAGATAAAAATACAAAACCAATATACCTACGTGTTACCAATACACGTATAATTATACTATATATATATATATAATTATACGTGTGTAGTTTTTTTAATATCCAGAGTAACAAATCCAGTACGTTGATATTAAAAAGACATAATAAACATTACGCAGTTATTGAAATTCGTGATTTGCAAGTTCGTGAGTCTCGTAAGCTCGTTACGAAACACGTCAATGCCACTAAAGTAATTGGCTGAACAAAACGGAGTAATACTCTGCGTGGTATGTTCCTATTGCCTACTTTTGAAAGATTACGAATACAATAGAGCCTACACTTTCATTTTTAACGCCTACATTAGCCTTCTAAGTTACGGAGCAGTTAATTTGTTCGCAAATAACTATTTATCAAGCTTCAATCTAATTTGAAACTTAATTAATTGCCTTTTTTTATAAAATAAGTACTATTTGTACATATTCAAAGAACATGGAGGTTTTCTTTCTGCGAACTCCAGTCGTTTATTGAGCTATATCATTAAGATTTTAATAAGATCTCAACATATTATAAGTTTGAGTTTGGATATTCGGAAATTCGTAGATCGAAACCGAAACGCGATTATACCCGGACCCGGAATTTTAATATCGTACCAAACATTCAATATCAAGATTTCCGGACAAAGTCGAACACATTTTAGATTTTTTTTATTAAATTGATTAGAAAAATGGGGATCAAACCCACGACTTATTACCCAGACATTACTACCATCACACCAACGTATGTAACGTATGTAAAGCTTTATAAAATACTTTTCTAGCTTCGCTATTGAGAGCAAGGTGGGATATTAATAACCGTTATTAAAACTCAAGCCTTAAGGACACAGCATAAACTTTGTATATAAATAAGCAAGGAAATAACTACTTCTGCGGAATGTAAGGGTACACGCCGTTAGTTATTCTGCAGGTACACAACACAATAATTACCCAGCCGAGCCATAAAATGAATTTAAATGCCAACTTTCTAAGATTGACGCAATTTGCTCTGATAAATTATTACATTCGACGTCAAAACGCCTAAGTGGATGAAACGTGTTGGTGTAAAATCTACATAATTACACAAGAGATGCACTCGCTTGGTGTTAATCGTATGCATAGCTCGTCGCGACTCCAGACTTAGTTAAATAGGAATAATAATTCGCACTCAATGTTCGGTAAGAATTAATTAGTTGTGAACTTGTATAATTTGTAACCTCCGTAACTCCGCTAACCCTGTATGAGACACGGGGAGCATCCATTTCCACGTTAATTAAAATCGATTATAAATGGAAACAATTTACGACTCGGGCATCTACAGCGTTCCGTTCTGTTGCTCTATCATGGAACGTTATAGAAGCCGATTCAAGTCTTGCTCGAGTCGTTTTTTTTTTTCAATTTATAATCGATATTTTATTTAAATAGTGCCATCATGTGCAATAACAAGTAAAAAATATTAAAGTTTTCAAACATTTCCATGTTATTTACTTAACTTCTATGCCTTGTCTAACGATAAGTATTATTTTATTTGAACCTAAGACTTCGCACAATCAGAGCAATGCTAAACAAAAATTTTAAATATCGAGTAACTGAGGGGAAACCAGAGATGGTCGCTGATAAATGCATCACCTAAAATACAGATAAAGTGGAATAAAAAGTGTAAATTCACGGCGAAATGGTTTAATAATGGCAACATTTATCTCTCAGGGTTCATTTAATATTTCTTTTCCCAAGTGTAGTTGACACAAAAGAAGGATGATTCAGAGGAAAGTTGGAAACAGATGTCTTTAAAACAAAATTAAAACAGAACTTGAAAATTTTCAACGCCGTCGGTTCGCGTGAATTGCAAAAGTGAAAGTTGCAAAGGTGTGTTTCTTCATCTTCAGAATTATTTTAGGTTTGCAATAGGTAAAGATAATAAGTGTCGGTGCATCTTTAGTTTAGCATGCAGTCAAACTTCGAGTTATGATGTATGGAATAAGTTCTTGGAAAATGTCTTGTTTATATTATAGGTTATATTCCGAAAAAAACCTTAACTTTATAAATTAAAACTTGTATGAATCTATACGTTTAAATCGACGATGATGTGTAGGACACGGTAGCTCAACTGGTTAGAGCAGTTACGCTGCGAATGCCGGTTCAAGTCTTGCCCGAGTTGTATTTTTTAAAATTAATAATCGTTTTATATAGTATAGTGCCATCATGTGCAATAACATGCGAAAATATTAAAGTCAAACCGGAACTTATTGAATATGTATAATATTCATCGCAAATCAAAAGGAGGAAAATTTTTCAACTGAAATGAAACCCACTAGATCCTTTTTTAAACTTTGAAATAAGAATTCCGGGTTCAAGTACAGTCGCATACTTGTGTAAATCGGAAAATATACATAAACAAAGCTCTAGCCTTCAGGGAGTAAAGAAATGTACTTCGGGCTCGTCTTAAACTTCTTTAGCGAAGGCGAAACTTATTGTAAACGGATCTCGTAGGTGCAGCACAGTCGTATGGAACAACTGGGATTCCGAATAGTTTCCGATCTACACAAAGCGGAAATCAGTAGAGGCTCCCGATACACGCGCTGATATTAAATTTTCAAGCATAAACCGTCGTCTGCTGAAGTTACGTAAGAAACTTCGCGAGCTCCCAATTGTCTTTTGAATCGGCAATATTTGATTTTCATATAAGGAGTTATAGTGTAGTGAGGTAGCGTGCCAAGTCGGAACGCAGAGTGAGTTAGCACAAAACGTCGGGGCTAACATCGGCGGTGTTCTGCTGACGAGCCATGTTATAGCGAGTACAATATATTATGCATTGCGAGTGAATATTCATGCAACTATTGCTCGCAGAACACAGCAGCTCCGCTGGTTAGACTACGGATTTGTTCTGTCGATTTGCAATATCGTGTTAGGGACTTTTCTTATAATTTTACACTGTTGTATGTAAGTGTTACCGGGATATAGGGTACCGTACCTTATTTTAAGAGTGCTTGGAAGATGTCGTATTTGTTTTGAAAGAGATATCGCAGTTATTGTTTATGATAATAAAGGTTTACATTATTGAAATAGACTTAAATTTAACTTAAAAACGAATTACTCATAGATTTAGCGAGTATTCAGTAGCTTTAAGATGAGGCACTACACACTACAAACAAGCTTTTTGAGATGTGACGTTTGAACGCGACAAATACAATATACTATACTATATATTATTTAACATTAATGCACATTAAGTAATAATTGATCGATTTTAGATTGAAAAAAAATTTAGACACGGCCAGGACTTGAACCGACATCCACAGCGTATTAATTTAGTTTTCTTATTTATCTTTTATCATTGTTTTAGGCAATGCATAAGAATTAATCTGATCTGAAAACTTGCATTCTCCCTAAGTAATATATCCACGTTCTACTAAATTAAACAGATACGCGAGGAATGTGCTATTTCTACACCGTATTGGACATGGTATTAATACATCAACAATTAACCTGTAATAGCATCGGTTTTACACAACATTTGTTTCTTTAATGCTATAGACAAGTCAGGGCCAACAATTCAATTTGAAAGGCAAATAGTTCCATAGACAAGCCATTTGCAAACACAAACAAAGTAACTGCATACATACATGAGGTAAGGCCTCGGCCTCCTATATTTAGAGAGGAATCATTGTGTCACACATATTTTTAGCACGTGAATAGGAAACTATTAAAGATGAATAATTTTCCCCATTTTTTTCCACAATTCCCGCTGTTTCTTCGCTCCTATTGATCGCAGATCGCAGATGTAATATAGCCTAAAGCCCTGGTGCACAGGTCACGGCTTGCTGGCCGCATGCCATCGAATACTCGGCCACCAGCAAAAATAATACTCAAATTAACCAAAGTAATTTTTTAATTTTAATGCATAAACAATTATTTTGATTTTAAATTGTCTTTAATTACCTACACATCTGGCGGCCCGCCATCAGTTCATGATTTTCCCGAGTGGCCCCTAGTTCTAAAGTCTGTTCAACCCTGGCCTCAAAACTTCCTCGATAAATGAGTTTATCCCTCGAGTTTTAT